TTTTTTTTTTTTTTTTTTCTTTTTTTTTTTTTTTGTTTTGGTTTTTTCCCCCCCCCCCCCCCAATTTTCTTAATCCTTCGGCGACTCCTTCCAGTTGTTGGTTTGTAGGCATCAAGAAGCTAAGATGAATAGACCGTAGCACGGGGGTGTCCGTGCAAGGCTGACATGCCTGGGATGGGGGCCAGTGCACATGTGATGGCTGGCTCTGTCAGCATGCAGGGGAACTCTGCTTGTCCAAGCTTGCCCAGGGACCACGTGTGGCATGGGAGAATAGGAGGGCGTAAGGGCTCTGACTGGGGTGCAGGCTGCAGTCACCTTCCAAGGGAGCACATGTTCAGGACCAGCTTTCTGGGATGCTGTTTACAATCTGCATGCCAGAGTTTAAGAGGGGTCATTTTGCGTTAGGGCCATCAGTGGAGCTTGACCAAGATGCTTGTGAGTCAGTGTACAATGAGTTTTGAGGAATTGGGGCTGCTTTGACTGGCCCAAGATGAGGGGGAGGAACATGGGGCGCTATCTGAAATGAGGTCATGGCAAAGGGGAGTCAGCCAGTCTTGGTTGGTGGAGATCACATCAGCAATTGGAGTTCTGAGGAACCAGTTTTAGGGGAGAGTCTTCTCCCATTTAGGGCCTGCAGTGAATTGTTGGTGGAGCTGGCTGCTGTCCATCACTGGAGAGCTTCCATGACTGCTGTGTGTAAGGGCTTTCATATTAGCCAAGGGCATGGGTGTGGGGAGAAGATTCCTGGCAGAGCAGGCAAGGCACCGAACATGAAACGGTAGGGTGCACGCCCAGAGCTATGGAAGTGTAGGGAAGTGCTGTTGGGGTGCGCTGGTGGTGGGGAGGGGTGGTGAAGAGGTTGGATGGGTGGCGTCCTAAGAAGGCTCCTCCAGCCTTCCTGCAACCTCATCCTAACCCCATCAGGCTCTTATTTCATTTCTCCTAGTGTTCATGCTTCTCAGCCTCATTAAGCTGGTGGCTGCAGCTCCGCCCTCCCCTGTGGGGTTTCAGCTCTGTCTGCACCCTTCCCTCTTACCCGCATCCACTCACATCATCTCCTTCTAGAACTGTCAGAGGCTGTTGGTGGAGACGATGGCTTTTTGGAGACAGTTGTGGCTTTGGAATGAGGGCACAGGGAAGGTGTATATCATACAGGGTCTCTGTCTGCTACGTGTCACTCAGCTGTTGTCTGATTTGGGGACAATGGGACAATGACACTAGTTGTTTTGGTAGTAAGACTGTTGATGGTGGGCAAAGGCTAAGCACACAGGAAAGAAATGCCCGTCAGGAAGGCAGGAAGAGAGCGTCTCTCAAACTGCTAATCCTTCCTGCGCACGGGCCGTTCTTTCCTTTTTCTTTGCATGTCTCATAATTTTTTTGTGGAAAGCTGAACCTTTTAGATAATATGTTGTAACAATTTGGATGCCTCTCCCTCTTTCTGCCCACGGTGGTGGTTGTTGCTTGTCTTATTTGCTTGTTTGTACATTTGTTTGGTATTTGCCTTGATTTATTTTTGTGGAATCTGTTTCCCTCACGTTGTGTTATGTCTCTTGTTTGTTATTTTCCTTGTCAGCCTAGATTCCTAAGGGTTACCCCAGGCTTGGTGGAGCTTAGAGGTCAGCCAGTGTCTGATAGAGGTTGGGCTTTAAACTGCTTGAATCCAGCAAGGTTTCTACCCCTTGCTGAGGGGTCTGTGTGCACCTTGGGGGGAATCCTTTCAAAGTTCAGAAAGTTTACAAGCTTACCCTGGTTTTCCCATTTTGAATTTACAAGGCATCTGTACTAGTCCATTTCTGTTGCTTATGGCAAAACACACAGAACTGGGTGATTTATAAGAAACCACAACTTTTTTGCTTACAGTTTCTGAGGCTGGGAAGTCCAAAGTCCAGGGAACACATCTGGTGAGAGCCTTGGTGGTGGCAACAGTGACGGAAGAGTATCACATTGCAGAGAGAGCAAGCGCAAGAGAGACTCTCCTCTCTCTTCTTTTAAAGCCCTCAGGACCACACCCCTGACCACAATTTTTAATCCATTCACTACTGCATGGTCCTACAATCCAATCACTTATTCAAAGCTCCATCTTTCAATTACCATAATAGGAGTTCCCACCCTCTTAACAGTCACAGAGGGGGCCAAGTTCCTAATACATAAAAATTGGGGGAAACAAGTCAAGCTTCAGTGAGTTTTGGGGGGACATGATTTAATCCACTGCAGCCTTGCATTGAGCCAGGGACTAGTGGCTCACAGGGGCCCTCTCAGTTTTCTGCCAAGTGTGCGACCTTGTGCATGTGCACAGCCTTCCTGGCCACTGGGGGATAAACGGGGTCTTACCGAGACCTTCTTTTGCAATTTCATGCACCAGACCTCCCTGTTGAATTTCTGGCAGGTCTGCCATTTTGTGTTTGCCCCACCTAGCTTGGTGACTTGGGGCCAGCTGCAACGTTTGCCTGCCTGATTGTTTGCTCCGGAGATCTGCTATTGTTTTTGACGATACCCCTGCACCAGGGTTTTCCACCCTCTTCTCCAGTCAAGTCAGCCTCTCCAGCTGGTGGTGGAGTTGCCATCTTCACCCCTGGCTCACCTGCCGATTTGAACTTGTGCGCCAAGGAGGTGGGGGAAGGAAGAGCAGCGGGAACAGGTCCTGGCTAAAGTTCCGTGATTAAGTGCATTTCATGGGTAAATGCTCCTCCAGTTGTTGTATGCCTTTGATCCGTTTGAAAAGTCTTTAAATGATTGTTCTTGACACTTTGTCCAGTTTTATCTTTTCTTTTTGGACAGAAGTTTAGCCAAGCTTCTCCCTAAGCCATTCTGGAAATCCCACCCTTCAGGCCCACGTACTTTCTGGTTCTCCTTTCAAAGTTGAGGATGTAATGAATAATGCTTATTTGGGAAGATGTTCCTGTGAACCCATTACTATCTCAAGTGTGTGTTTCCTAAATGTTGGTAAAGTAATGGGGAGGCTTGTTTAAGTGTTATGGTAACTTCCTGCAGCTTTGCTGTTTGTTTGTTTTTGGTGTGAGAGCAGGTGGGATTTTAATGTACATTATCAACAGGCTTTTGTCTGAGTACTTGAATTTCTTATAGCCTTTCTGTTGCTTTGAATGCAATAGGTTGCTCAACAGTTTGATTCCCTTTATTGTTATTTCCCTTTATTGTAGTAGGGATTAGTGGGTACAGGCACACTCATGAAATTTGGGGGGCTAGGGTGCTTAGATGCGTTTGTAAACTGTTCTGATGCAACTGTAGAGTGCTGCATTCATTTGTGTTATGATGTAAATCCCGTCAAAGGCTGCCTGCCACCACTGACGCCTCCACTGAGCCACCCCCACTGAGCCGCCCTGAGCTCAAATTTACTGTTTGACCCCATGCTGCTCTGTATCTCCCCCCTCACCCTTTTTTGTGGGATTCCAGCCCTCTTCCCAGGCAGGATCTCCTCAAGGCTGGGGAGGTGTCTTTGTTTGCCCGTCCATCCCGTTATCTCTCCATCCTTTTTGCATGGGGGCAATGGACCAGTGGTGGCAGCTCTACTTTGTACCTCTGTGCTGTGCCCTCTGGCCTGGAGCCACCTGTCCAGTGTTGGATGATGCATTTGTCTAGACAGGGTCCCTGTCTCAGTGGTGCTGAGTCTTCACCGATGCTGGATCCTGACCCACCTTCAGTCTCCCTCTGTGCTTAATTAAATCATAGCATATATTGTGTTCCAGTCATGTGTCCTAGAGCACAGGAGTGTGGTGTAGGGTGGGGGGAGATCATGGTCAGGCTGGGAAGGGTGCAGAGGCATGCCAAGTTCATCAGTCCCTTCCTTTATTTACTGTTCATTCATGCTTGTTTTGGGGGCATCTGTCCCATTTCAGGCCCTTTGTTAGATAAGAGGATTTCTCCTTCTCCCACAGGACAAACTCTTACAGTTTAGGGTAAAATTTCAAAACCTAGAAGATATTGTTCACACTTGGTTGGGTAATGGTGCCTATAGCATGGATTTTTTCTTCAATTGGGTATTGCGAGGGTGAGTGTGTTGTTGTTCTCTTTGAATAATTGTAAATGTATATAGATGTAGGTGAATGTTTGCAAATGTATTTAATGTGATTATTTATATATAGTTACTATTTATGTGGGTATGTCCTAGTGTACCAGGCACTTGTATATAAATGGTCTTTTTAGATTCTCATGACAGCTTTGAGAAGCTGGTATTATCCTCCAATGAGAAAACCAAGGCTCTGCGAGGTAACGTCACATGATCTAAGCCAGCCACCTTGATGATCTCCGTTCTTTGCACCCCCTCCTGAATTTACTTGTGGTAGAGTCCCAAAGCATGCAGGGCCCTTTGTGCTTTGACCCAGTAGACTGTCCAGTTTGTTAGTTGCCTGTGTCTCAGTCTTCCCATTCTGCCCTTCAGCCACA